AAGGAAGATATAAAACTATCCCTATTTGTGGATGATACGATACTATGCATAGAGAACCCAAAGGATTCCACAAGAAAACTACTGGAACTAACAGTAAAGTAGCAGGATACAAGATAAACATACAACAAATCAGTTGGATTCCTATACAGCAATAAAGAGCACTATGAAAAGGAAATCAGGAAAGCAATACCATTTATAACAGCCCCTAAAAAAATAAAATACTTAGGAAAAAAATCTAACTAGGGATGTAAAAGACCTATACAAAGAAAACTACAAAAGACTACTGTTAAGAAACCAAACGAGACCTAAGTAAATGGAAAAACATATCATGTTCATAGATAGGTAGACTCAACATTGTGAAAATATCAATTCTACCCAAAGCAATCTATAAATACAATGCAATCCCGATCCAAATACCAACAGCATTCTTTAATTGTATGGAAAAACTAATCATTAGCTTTATATGGAAAGGAAAGAGGCCCTGGATAAGTAAAGCACTACTGAAGAAGAAGAACAAAGTAGCAGGACTTGCACTAGTTGATCTCAGAAGCTACTATACAGCTGTGGTAGTCAAAACAGCCTGGTACTGGTACAATGACAGACACACTGACCAATGGAACAAAATTGAGAACCCAGATGTAAATCAATCCACCTACAGTCACCTGATCTTCAACAAAGGCCCAAAGTACATTAAATGGGAAAAAAACAGTCTTTAACAAATGGTGCTGGCAAAACTGGATATCCATCTCTAAAAAAATGAAACAAGACCCACACTTCACACCATACACAAAAACTAATTCAAAATGGATCAAAGACCAAAACATAAAACCCAAAAACTATAAAGATCATAGAATAAAAAATAGGATCAATGCTAGAGGCCCTAATACATGGCATAAATAGCATATAAACCATAACTACCAATACACAAACACCAGAAGATAAGCTAGATAACTGGGATCTTCCAAAAATTAAGCACTTATGCCCATCCAAAGACTTCACCAAAAGAGTAAAAAGACAACCTACAAAATGGGAAAAAATTTTTGACTATGACACATCTGACAAACGTCTAATCTCTAAAATCTACAGGAAAATCCATCACCTCTACAACAAAAAGACAAATAATCCAATTAAAAAATGGGCAAAGGATACGAACAGACACTTCACCAAAGAGGACATTCAGGCAGCTAACGGACACATGAGGAAATGCTCACTAGCTATTACAGAAATGCAAATCAAAACTACAATAAGATACCATCTCACCCCGACATTAGTGCCACCAATCAAAAAAATAAAAAATAACAAATGCTGGAGAGGCTGTGGGAGCATGGAACTCTTATGCACTGCTGGTGGGAATGTAAAATGGTACAACCATTTTGGAAAATGATATGGCGCTTTCTTAAAAAGTTAGAAATAGAAATACCATATGATCCAGCAAGCCCACTCCTAGGAATATATCCGAGAGAAATAAGAGGAGTCATATAAACAGACAAATGCACACCGATGTTCATTGCAGTATTATTCACAATAGCAAAAAGATGGAAACAACCTAAGTGCCCATCAACAGATGAATGGATAAACAAACTGTGGTACATACACACAATGGGATACTACGCAATGATAAAGAACAATGATGAATCTGCAAAACATCTCACAACATGGATGAATCTGGAGGACATTATGCTGAGTAAATAAGTCAATCACAAAAGGGCAAATACCGTATGAGACCACTATTATAAAAACTCATGAAAAGGTTTACACACAGAAACAATCTATGATATTACTAGAGAGGGAAGTGTTTGGGTACGATGCTAGGTGGGACTGAGAAACAAAAGGAGGAGTGGGAAAAAGAAAAAAAATGCTGCAGCAGAAGCTGACAGATGGTGGTGGGAGGGGATCCGTGGTGGCAGTGGGCCACTGGCTCTTTACCTGTGGCAGTGTGGCGTGACTCAGCAGGAGGGGATAGAGGTGGAATACAGGGTTAAGTGTGAGGGAGAAAGAAAAGGAAGAAAGGGAAAAAATGGGGTGGCAGGAGCCAGTGGGTGGGGCAGGGAGACCTGGGGTGACAGTGGCCTGGTAGCTCTCCAGCCAAGTGGCGAGGCTTGGCTCGTGGGGAAGGGGTAAGGGTGGAGTATGGAGCTAGGTGGGAGGGAGATAGAAAAGGAAGAAAGAGGGAAAAGAGGAGCCAGCGGGTGGTGGAAGGGCAGACCTTGGGTGACCGTGGGCCAGTAGCTCTCTAGCCAAGCGGTGCAGCGTGGCGCATGGGGAAGGGGTGAGGGTGACCTATGGGGCTAGGTGGAAGGGAGAAAGTAAAGGAAGAAAGGTGGGGAAGTGGCATGGCAGGAGCCAGTGGGTGGGGGCAAACTGGACCCTGGCTGGTGGTGCACTGGTAGCTCTCTAGTGGGAGAGTTCAGTGTGGCCCATCAGGAAGGAGTGGGGGTGGTTTACGGGGCAGAAAGGTGAGGGGTACGAAAGTGTGTTTCTCTCATTACCAAGTGCTCTATCTCCTGTTGGGAGCACCGTGAAATTGCCTTCCAGTACTCCCTGTCCAGGGTTGTTGCTGGATGTGCTCCACGACGGCGATGCTGTGTCGTGTCAGTTGGCAGGGTACCTCTACTCCATATCTCTCCTTGTTCTCTGTTTTCCTTCAATTTGTTCTTCCATTCGGTGTTTGATCTAGTTCTTTATCTCTTCATTTGATTCTTAGAGTCTCATGACTGACGTTTGTATCTGTTTTACTTAGTTTTTTGGGTCTTTGCTGCAGAGGGACGGCATGATGTGTTTGTCTAGGACACCATGTTTGGCTCTGCCTCTTCCTTATCTTGTTTTGATATAAAACTTTTCAAACTATTTCTTTCCCATTTTTTAGGTGCCATCTTCTTACTGGCATATACAATATCCTCTCGACAAGTTTTATATATCACGCTCTGTAGTGCCTCACTAAACCATGCAGAATGTTGCCATATTGTTCAAAGCCTTAGAAAATTCAATTATCTTTTAAAACACAATTGTGTCTTACTTTAGTGGACTCTAAATAGGTGCAGATCCAGGTGTTATGGGTCCTGGAGCATATGTAATTTGGGATCCCTCTTTAAGAAAAATAATTCTAAATTAGATACACAAAAATGCACGAATGGAAATATTAATTTGAAATGAGAAAATAAATTACATAAAATTACTGAAGAGTTGAAAAAACATGTAGATTTCTCCTGAAAGGACTTTAGGCATTATCCCAGAAGTGTTTACATAGAAATGCTTCCTGATTGTAAACCGATTTCCCTCCACAAATCTCAGCAATCTCAATACTCATAGGACCCATGTGAGTGAAGAGCTTCATTGGTTTCATACTAAATCCACCTCTAACTCTGGAGGAATATCTAGGGCACATCAGTCATCATATCACCATATTTTAGGCTTTAGAACCATGTAATGTGTTTTACAATTATATAAGAATACAAAAGTAGAGCACACATGGGTATATATTGGTGTCTATAATCTTTTTTACAAGACCTCTCAACCCAAGCTTCCTAAAATTACTTTCAAGATGTGCAGTCCCAGATTCCTCATCTCTCCCTCTTGAGAAGAGAGAACTATGAAGATGTAATGCATCTCTCAGCACTGTACAAAAAATTGTTTTATTACATACAATGAAAAATGAGAAGTTCTATAAATATAGCTGTGAAATTTACAAGCAGCCAGGAGATTTACAAGGAGGGAGAGATTACTTCAGACTAGAGAACCAAGGGAAGTCTGACGGAGGAGTGGCACATAGGAATGCGTTGGGATTTGGGCAATACCTAGATGACAAATGGGAATTCAGCAGGAGTGAAGAGCCTGAGCAAAAGGGGCAAAAATGTTACAGAAATGCTGCAGGTAAATATAGAACTGGCTTGGAGGACCATTTTCTAACCCAGGTTGGCTGGAATATTAGGGCATGTGAACAGGATGATAAAGCTGGATGGGCAGTCTACATCCAATAGCGGAGGAGACTGAGGTCAGGCGCTGTGTCTATTTTCCTTACCACCGTAAAGCTAATTCATAGCTGGTACTCAATAATTGCTTGCTGAATGAATGAATAAAAGAATGAAGTGATTGGACTGTCAGGTAGTGTCTCTTTTATGCACACATAGTCCTTAATTTAGGACATATTCGAGTTCTGACCAACCGCACTTACGACCATCAGAATATACTACATACAATGTTGAAGTGCATAAATTTGCTGACAGTCTCAGCTATTCACTAGCAGATGTTTATATGTAATGTTTCCAACGCCCAAAAGACAAATAAAGACCAGATTTATAAAGACATTGATAATAAAAGGCAAGAATAATGAAAAAAATTAGGTATTCAATTTACGTCCGAACCGACTTACGACAGAGTCGTAGGAGTACAGAAACGTATCATAACCGGTCCTAAATTGGGGACTACCTGTAAGCAACGGACAGCCAAGTAATGATTCAGTTTAGAGGGAATGATATGGGCAGAACTGTGTTGCAGGAAAACTACTAGAGATCCTCACTTCCACTCTTGGAAGAATTAGCCTTAGCTAGGAGATTTGACCAAAGAACTGTCTTGGGACCTCATGAGGGGCACCTATGGACACTTTTCCTTTTGGGGACCTTGTATGATTCCCAGGGTCAAAATTTATTGATACCTGCTTTCTGGCATTTGTCATTTTCAGTCCACTTGGCCATTTTTATTCCTTGGAAACTGTTTCTGGCAGGGCCTTGTTAGGTGACAAACAGTATAAGACGCCTAGGAGCCAAAGGGACGCCGGGTCGCTGGAATCGCCCATTCCAACTATGATGACGTGTGCTTAGCTTGAGGTCCGGCTCTCAAGGGCTCTTAGAGCACATTCCTCGTCCTCCGCACGGCCAGGGGGCGCCCTGGATCTCAGGCGCGCCCCGCTCGCCGACGCGCACCCTCCCTCTCCACACAGACAAGGCTACATCCTCCATCCTCCGACCCAGAAGTGCCAGAGTTCCGCGTCGGCCAATCAGAAATGCCCATGTGCTAGTGGGGGCGGGGCTGCCAAGGGATGAGGAAGATGGCGGCGAGGGCGAGGTGAGGTGTTGGCAGTAGGAAGGGGTTCGGGCGCGGAGGGCGGGGGAATCCGGAGCGATGGCCCGCGCCGGCCGCTGGGGCGGGTAACAAGCCGTCGCGTCGCGGGTGAGAGAGGGAGGGAAGGGCGACCGGGCGCCTGGAGAGTATGACGGGGCTGTACGAGCTGGTGTGGCGGGTGCTGCACGCGCTTCTCTGCTTGCATCGCACGCTCACCTCCTGGCTCCGCGTTCGGTTCGGCACCTGGAACTGGATCTGGCGGCGTTGCTGCCGTGCTGCCTCCGCCGCGGTCCTAGCGCCGCTCGGCTTCACGCTCCGCAAGCACCCGGTTGCCGGCAGGAATCGCCGCCACTACCGGCACCCGCGCTGGGGGCCGGGCCCGGCCGCCGCCCATCTCCGGTTGCGCTGGCGCGCGGACGGCCGTTCCCTGGAGAAGCTGCCGGTGCACATGGGCCTGGTGATCACCGAGGAGGAGCAGGAGCCCAGTTTCTCGGACATCGCAAGCCTCGTGGTGTGGTGTATGGCCGTGGGCATCTCATATATTAGCGTCTACGACCACCAAGGTGAGGCTCTGTGGGGCGGGGTGCAGGAGGGACTGGGTCATCACCGACCGCGGCGACGGCACATCCGGCAGATGTGCTCGGGTCGTGCCGCACACAGCTGCCTTCCCGGCTTCGCCAGTTCCTTTTCCCGCGGCCCTTATGTGTAAGTCACTGTGCTAGCATTTTCGAAGAAGGTAGCTAAGCTTTATTGAACACCTTTTAAGTTCCTGGAGTCTCTTCATTTGCTTTCTCTACATTAAAAAAATATTTTTTATTCTTTATTATGCCCTAGTAAGGGAGGTAATAACTATTCGTATACCTTTGTTTCACAAGTGAGGGTGCTGAGGCTCAAAAACGTTCACTGATTTGTCCAAGGTCACGAAGGTTGCAATGGAGGGATCTCTGCCTCTTCACAATCTTTGTCTTTTCCTTTACACCGCAGTGTTTCTTCAGAGAGGTTTAAGGCACGGTTTTTGTCTTAAATCGGGAGGGTTAGACAAAGGCTGGGTGGTAGGTACTGCAAATAGGAGCAGTAGGGGCCAGGAAATCTTGGGCCAGGTGGCATTTGAACTGAGTTTATGAAAAGTATGTGACAGATTGGATAGGCTGAAAGGAAAATGGTCTCCTGTCTTTGGATTCCTGGAGTGGTGTGATCCTTGATCCTCAGTGGCCAACCCAGTACTTGACACAGTAATTGTTCTCTCATAAGTTTTTTGTTTGTTTATTGTGCTTTAGGTAATGGTTTACAGAGCAAATTAGTTTCTCATTATAGAATACACATATTGTTGTGTGACATTGGTTGACAACCCCGTGACATGTCAGCACTCTCCCCCTCTTGACCTTGGGTTCCCCGCTTTTACATTCGTCCAGCTTTCCTGCCCCCTCTTGCCTTCTCATCCTTGCCCCTGGGCCGCTGTGCCCAGTTAGTCTTGTATACATGGTTGAGCTATGTGTATTATTGTTTGTTTTATGGACCTGTCTAATCTTTGGCTGAAGAGTGAATCTCAGGAGTGACTTCAGTACTGAGTTAAAACGGTGTCCTGGGGCCATACTCTTGGGCTTGCTCCAGTCTCTGTCAGACCAGTAAGTCTGGTCTTTTTTGTGAGTTTGAATTTTGTTCTACATTTTTCTCCAGCTCTGTCCTGGACCCTCTGTTGTGATCCCTGTCAGAGCAGTCGATGGTGGCAGCCGGGCACCATCTAGTTGTGCTGGACTCAGTCTAGTGGAGGCTTGGGTAGTTGTGGTCCATTAGTCCTTTGGACTAATCTTTCCCTCGTGTCTTTGGTTTTTCTTCATTCCCCCTTGCTTCAGTTGAAGTGGGACCAGTAGATGTACCTTAGGTGGCTGCTCACAAGCTTTTAAGACCCAAAATGCTACTCACCAAAGTAGGATGTAGACCATTTTCCTTATAAACTATGTTATGCCAATTGAGCTAGATGTCCCCAGAGACCATGGTCCCCAGCCCTCGGCCCGGTAACTCGATCCCTGTGGGAGTTCGGATGTGTCTAAGAAACTTCTCTGGCTTTGCTTTGGTCAAGTTGTGCTGGCTTCCTCAGTATTGTGTACTGTCTTACCCTTCACCAGAGTGACAATTTGTCTATTGTCTAGTTAATGTTTTTCCCTCCTTCCCATAAGTTTTGATTGAGGGAATGAATTTCACCATAGGGAAAATTGTAAGTACAAAAATACAACACCTACTGAGAGACTAAAGGAGCCCTAGCGGCTCAGTGGTTAAGCGCTTGGCTGCTAGCGGAAAGGTCGGCAGATTGGACCCACCAGCTGCTCTGTGTGATAAAGATGTGGCGGTCAGTTTCTGTTTGATAACAGTTCTACTCTGTCCTATATGGACGCTATGAGTCGGCATCGACTCAGTGGCGATGGGTTTGGTTTTTTGGTTTTGAGTCACTACAAGCCTAAAGCAGTGTGCTGGGCACATTCCTAGCAATCATGTGTTTAATTCCAGGGACTGTCAGACTTGTGGGGAGGTAGACACATAGTCATATAGGTGACATGGTTAATAAAAAGTGTTGAGACAAAGTACTGTGAGAATAGGGGAGAGAAATTCTGCATGGAACTTGAGAAGTTCTTTCAGAGGAGATGAGATTTAGGCAAGACATTGAAGAACGAGTAGGAGATAAGATTGGGGAAGGCTCTAAACGTCAGGTTAGGGTTTCAATGCAGCGGATTTTCCTTACAGGTATGGTGATAAAAATGATTTTGGAGTATTGCTATGAAGGAAAGAAAATGTTTTATTCTCTGTTCAACAACCTAAATTACTGTTATGCTCCAGAGAAGCTACAACTTGATTTTTACTTTTAAATATCTTATAGGTAGATTTCAGTGTGGAGTTTTGTCAGAAATGGCAGGTCTGGGTCAGGCAGTAACTCTTACATGGTAATCTCCATCTGCTCTGTTTCCTTCCCTGCAGCCAGCAAGGAATATGGTGACTCAGTGACCTGTCATTATCAAATGATGATTTACACTGTGGGGTAAAGTTTAAAATACTTGGGGGCTGACACTTTATGGAACTTTCTAAAGAACTCAGCAGACCAACAGAAATCACAGGACTGTCAGGAGGTAACACACTATCTTTGCCTAAACCAGTGCAACAAAAATATTGTCTGGGGAAGAGGTAAAGCAGAAATGGAAACTAGTTAGAGCCATTAAGCATTCTGGTGTGTTGACTGTGAGGTCACTTAACCGGGTAATTCTTTTAAAGCAAGTACCTCCAGTAGGGAAAGTGAAATTAGCTGTAGCTAAATTGTTTGACTTGCCTAGTGGTCACAGATTATAATCTTGCCACACTTCCTTGTTCTGGTAATTCCTGTTACTGAAATTGCTCTTGTGATTCAGGAATATCCTGTGTCATTCATAAAAGAAAAATGACTGATAACGAAAAGAAAGAAGTCAACCTAAAGGCATTTTAAGGGGCATTTTCAGTGAATGGACTAAGAACACTTTGTGTCCTATTGTAAAGGCAATTTGCTTTAATATTTTTAAGAGATAAGGGATAATTTCATTGTCTAAATAATTGCTCAATTTACTCATTCTTGGTTTTTTGATTGATTGATTTATTGATTCATTCATTCAGTAGGTGAAAATTGGATGTTTATTAAGTGCCAGGCATGAGGTTCAGCAGTGAACAAAACAGACAAAAATCCCTCTGTTAAGGAGTAAAATGTGTAGTATGTTAGATCATAAGTTCAACACGGAAAAATAAAGCAGGGAAGGAGACTATCCATACCATACCCATTGCTGCAGAGTCACTTCTGACTCATAGCAATCCTACAGGCCAGAGTAGAACCGCTCCATAGTGTTTCCAAGGAGTGGCTGGTGGATTCAAACTGCCGACCTTTTGGTTAGCAGTTGTAGCAGAATCAACTTGATGACAACGGGTTTTAATCATTAATTAACTTACTTAGATATTTAGTTTAAAAAGAAAAAAGGCAGGTCATTTTGAAAGATGGGCATTCGTATTTATTTATAAATAAGTATTAATTTTGTATCTGATGAGTTGCAGGAAATACTGTTTTGTGTTTATCTCACTTTTCCCCCTTCTTTTATTCCTATAAATACTTGCTGTTAGGTATTTCTTAAGAGGTTTGTTTCTGTAGAAGGGAAGGAATAATCGCAGTAAACTTCTGATTTCAGATTTAAAAGAAGACATTGGAATTGACTTGATGGCATTGGGTTTGTTTGGTTTCTATTAAGTATATGCATATTTTCAAAGTCTCATTTTATAGAATTGATTATACATTTCACATAATTTTTTTTTTATTGTACTTTAGATGAAGGTTTACAGAACAAATAGTTTCTCATTAAACAGTCAGTACACATATTGTTTTATGACATTGGTTAAAAACCCCATGAAATGTCAATGCTCTCCCTTCTCAACCTTGGCGGACCTTCTTCTTTTATTTTTGGTGAAAATATACATAGCCAAAGTTATACCATTTCAAAAATTTCTACGTGTACAATTCAGTGACATCGATTATATTCTTCCAGTTGTGCTGCTGTTCTCACTATCCTTTTCCAAATTATCCCATTCACCATTATCTTCAACTCACTGCCCTCTGGGCTTCCCATCAAACCTTTTGAGTTGCTGTTGTCAATTTGATGTCACATAATTTTTTTTTTGTACCTTAGATGAAGGTTACAAAACAAAATATTTTCTCATTAAACAGTTAGTACACATATTGCCCTATGACAATGGTTAACAACCCCACTACACATCAACACTGTCCTTACTCAACCTTGGGTTCCCTATCGCCAGCTTTCCTGTCCCCTTCTGGCTTCTAGTCCTTGCCCCTGGACTACTGTGCCTCATTAGTCCTGTTTTGTTTTATTGGGCTGTCCAATCCCCAGCTGAATGGTGAACCTCCGGAGTGACTTCACCACTGAGCTAAAAGGGTGTCCAGGGGCCATACTCTCTGTGTTTCTCCACTCTGTCAGGCCAGTAAATCTGGTCTTTGTTTTTGTGAGTTAGAATTTTGTTCTACATCCTTCTCCAGCTCTGTCCAAAACCCTCTGTTGTGATCCCGGTCAGAGCATTCAGTGGTGATAGCTGGGTACCATCTAACTGTACTGGACTCAGTCTGGTGGAGGCCATGGTAGCTGTGGTCTATCAGTCCTTTGGACTAATCTTTTCCTTGTATCCTGTTCTCTTCATTCTCCTTTGCTCCCAAAGGGGTGAGACCAGTGGAATATCTTAGATGGCTGCTCACAGGCTTTTAAGACCCCAGATGCTACTCACCAAGGTAGAATTTAGAACATTGTCTTTATAAACTGGGTAATGCCAGTTGAGTTAGCTGTTCGCGGAGACCATGGTCCCCACAGCCCTCTGCCCAGGAATTCTATCCCTCAGGGAGTTTGGATGTGTCTATGGAGCTTCCATGACCTTTCCTTGTACAAGTTGTGCTAGCTTCCCCAGTATTATGTACTGTCATACCCTTCACAAAAGTTACCACTTATCTATTGTCTATTTAGTATTCCCCCCACCCCTCCCATCCCTCGTAACCAAC